TATTTCTTTTTTTTTAGTTTTCGGTGGACATAACATCTTTGTATGTGGTGCTGAGGATCGAACCCAGACCGCATGCATGCCAGACGAGCGAGCTACCACTTGAGCCACATCCCCAGCCCTCTTCTTTCATTTCTGATATTACTAATTTGAGTCTTTTCTCTTTTTTTTCTTAATTAGCCTGGATAGAAATGTATTAATTTCACTGATCTTTTAATAAAACTATATTTTTATTTTGTTGATTTCCTCAATTGGTTTTCTATTTTTAATGTTGTTAATTTCTACTCAAATTTTTGTTATTTATTTTCTTCTGCTTGCTTTGCATTTAATTTACTCTTCTTTCAATTTCTTTAGGTGGAAACTTTCTTCTTTTCTGATATGTAAGTGCTAGAAATTTCCCTCAAACCACTGCTTTTTCTGCATCTTGCAAACTTTGATAAGTTGCACTTACATTTTTATTTAATTCAAAATATTTAAAAATTTCTCTTTGGAATTCTTTGACATGTGTACTATTTAAAAGTCTCTTGAGCAAACTTAGGGGAAAAAAATCACTTAACTTCTTGGGTCTCATCCCCTCAAACTATAAAATGAAGATATTTAGAGCTGCTTCAGAATTGGGAGAGTGAATCCAGTAATGTTCAAATACATGGGATAAAACTCAGTGTATGACTCAAACATAATCAGTAGATATTATCAATAATTATGAAAGCTAGAATCTCTTATCTTAGTTTTTATAATTACCTGATCTCTTTTATATTAGTTTTTATAATTTGAGATCACAGTTCCATCAGGGCAGGCCTCATGTCCACAAATGGAAATAATTCTTGTCCTGAAAAGTCAGAAGATATTTCTTCATGTTCCCCAAACCTCAGAGAGGGTGACTAAAAAGTTTGTAGATTTTGTCTTTAAAGTGTCCAGCAGTCATGATGTTTCCAGACCTCTCTCTTTTTTGCTCAGACCAAGTGTAACTTTTTTCCTTCAATAATTGTTAACCCAATTTTTTATGATTCAATATAAATACACAAAAATCTTTATTATTTGTATTTACCAAACATTTCTCTCTCTTTGTTGTTATGTTTAAAATCGTGTTTTGACAAAGGGCTTTATTGGGGCACCTTTCATTTTATTTTTATTTATTTACCAGTGACAAATGACATACATATGGCATACATGTGATGTTTTCGTAGATGTACACACTGTAGAATGCTTAGATCAAGCTAATTAACGTACCTCTTACTTCACATACTTATTACACTTTAGTGATGAAAAATTTTAAATCTACTCTCTCAGCAATTTTCAAATATACTATATATTATTATTAATTATAGACACTATGCTGTGCAATAGATCTCCAGAACTGATTTCTCCATCTAACTGAAACTGTATACTGTTTGGCCAGGATCTCCCTATCCCTCACACTCTCACCCCTAGTAACTACCATTATACTCTCAGTAAGCTTTTATTTTTGCATTAAATAATAGAAGATAAGAAACGAAGAAATTTGACTAGTAAAGTGCAACAAATTAGTCCAGGATTGGTTTGTTGTGTTGGAATTCTTAAGTCCTTCCTACCACAAACTCTCTTTTTATATTAAGAGTACACATCATTCCTAGGTGGGGAATTCCATTTCAATCCCCTCAGGGATGAGAAAAGCCCTGTTAGCAAAATAGGCTCCCCTACTAACTCAGCAATCCCATCCCCCCATTCTGAAACATGAATAGGTAACCAAGGGTCAAGTGATATCTGAAGCCAACAGCAGTGCAATAGACTTCAAGAGCATCTAGGGCAGCTGGGTTTGAAATCATAGGATTTGAAAGATTCTCTAAGAAGAAATGAACAGTAATGATGAAGACAATAGAAAAATCTTAATGATGTGAAGGCAAATTAAGAAGATAAAAAGAGAATTAATTAGAAATGCAAAGAAAAACCAGAACTGCCTTTCCTTATCTTTGAGTTCAAGTTTACTGTGAAGTTCAGTAGTGAACAATCTTTCAGCAATCAGGACAATGTAAAATCTGTTGGTTTCTCCATTTTTAGAGGCCAAGTATGAAAGCTCCATGAGCAAGATATTGACAGAACTTTTAATAATAATTAAAGAATGGTTTGTAAACATCATTGGCCACATAAATAGCAAGGCTGATTGCATTAGGAAGGCTGATGGTATAAGGAGAAATAAAAAGTTGATTTCCTCATTTTACAAAATGAGAGTCTGAAACTGATGAAACAAGTGGAGGGTGTCATGTATTCTTTACCTTTATAAACGTGACCAGTGAAACAATTAAACAGGTAGCTGTCAAATCCAGGAGGAGCAGGGAGAGGTGGAAGAAGTGCAAGAGAGTTTCGTCTTTCTATTTCCAAATGAAGAATTGGCGGATATGTCTACATGTGTAATTAATCAAGAAACAATGATAAAACATATTTTGTCGATGTACACAAGCAACTGCCAGGAAACAGTAGAGACAGTTAAATTATTTGGGAGGTGGGACAGGGAACCTTCTGCTTGTGATTGTATGCTCATTTTCATTATTTGATTTTAAAACCATATTTATATATTAACTGAAAAATAGAAAGTGAAGAATACCAAGTCTTTTTTTTTTTCAGAGAGAGTGAGAGAGAGAGAATTTTAATATTTATTTTTTAGTTTTCGGCGGACACAACATTTTTGTTTGTATGTGGTGCTGAGGATCGAACCCAGGCCGCATGCATGCCAGGCGAGTGCGCTACCGCTTGAGCCACATCCCCAGCCCAGAATACCAAGTCTTATTAAAGTAGCATTAGAAAGATGGCTAGAAAACATTTAAGACTAATAATATTGAGTGGGGAAAAAAGTTATAAAACAAACACAGTATTGTGGATTTTCTAGTTCTATGGTGGGGGCATAAACAATTGCTTGACTGAGTTTTAGATACTTTCTTCAGATTACTTGTTGCCTTTGTCTCGAGAGGATCAGATGCAGGCAGTCAAGTTAGGTCAGGCAGGTTCATTTTTCTAGAGTTAATCACCAAGTGCTCCGACTGATCCCTGGTTAGCTCTTTCTATAATTTGGAAAACTTAGTTCTTCCTCTGTCTCTGTAGATGGCCTGGAAAGCTGCTTTTAAAAATAATAAAGTGGGGCTGGGGATGTGGTTCAAGCTGTAGCGCGCTCGCCTGGCATGCACGGGGTGCTGGGTTCGATCCTCAGCACCACATAAAAATAAAATAAAGATGTTATGTCCACTGAAAAAAACTAAAAAATAAATATTAAAAAATTCTCTCTCTCTCTCAAAAATAATAATAATAAAGCAAAGATACTGGATGGGGGGACATTCCTCCTAAACAGAAAGTCTCAAGACATTCTTGAGTATCAAGCCCTTCCTTTGCAATTCATTCTGGAATCTTCTAGGTTCTCTGCCACAGCATTCTGTCTCATAGCCATTCATGAAATAATTCATTTTGCTTTGAATTCCTTTACCAAGAGTTGAGAAACCAAAATATTAGAAAGAGATTAAAGTGTTTAAGGTATCATACCATTTTTCTTAATTTAGGTAATTCAATAAGCAACATGCACAAACACCCCTTTTCCCAACACCTTATTTAATAGACTTATTCATAAATTGTTCATACCAGTTTGATAAAAAGTTGTCATAAAAAGTGAAGTGCATTTGAACAGAAAAATTCTAGGCATGTTTTGAGAAATATGATTTTTAAAAAGCCTGACATGAATCCTCTAAATACCCTACCCTCATGTGTAAGGAGGAGAGTCCTTTCCAAACCAAAATTCACTCTGAAACCAAATCTGAAGAACAGATCAAAGAAGCTGCTTTGACTAAAGAAATAAGAGGCCCAGAACTACTTATCACACATGGCCATTATTTACACACATACACACACACATCCCACCCATATGTATACGTACACAAAATCAATATATATGTATGTTTATATGTATGCATTTATTTATTTAAAATCAGCTTTTTTTTAGTTGTAGATGAACAAATACCTTTATTTTATTTGTTTATTTTTATGTAGTGCTGGGGATTGATCCCAGTGCCTTACATATGCTAGGCAAGTGCTCTACTACTGATCTACAACCCCAGCCCCTGTATGCATTTATATACATATATACATATATTCATATATATGTATCTCCACTTTTAACACTCACAGCCACACACAAAATATCCCCCAACCATGTACACCCCCCCATACACAGCTTGTCCCATATCACATTACACACACTTATTGTACTTTCCAACTACCCCATACTCTGTCTCTCCTCACTATACAACTCCACAATCATAAACAAACAAAATATCCCCCAACCTCACACACACTATACCACCCATGGCCCATACATTATTCACTAATTCATCATAATATCACATAGACACCCCCTTATGCACATGACATATCCACAACTTACCTCACACACAGACATTCCTTCACATATTACACATCATCCATGCTAAACCCCCACCCACATACTTTACACACACATACACAGACATCACACACTAAACTGCATATGCATCACACCACCTCCACACATCCCACACATATGTGGCATACAATAATTAAACCACACCACAAACACTAAAAATGCTACACAGAAAGACCACATACACAACTCACACACATAGTTCTCTAGGCCTCCAGGGTTTCATGAAACATAATTGAAAAATCAATGCCATGGTTGGAAGTATTGTATTTAATTTTAATGAGCTATTCTCTCTTCCTTTTTTCATTTTTAAAACGGTAAAGACCCACTTTGACCAACAATGATAAAAGATTTTTTGGTTAGTTTTTCCAAAGAATATCAGTTTGAATCTGAAATTAGTGCTCATAGCTCTTAATTCATTTTTGTTCTTTGAAGTTAAATACCACCTAATAATCTTAGTGATCATCCATCAGATCATTAGAAACCCCAGATTATTTCCTGAGATCCATGTCACAAAGGGGAATATACTAATATAATCTTTACAAAGTCACAATAAATGATATGGATTGAAAACACTTAGTTTCACCGGCCAATGGGGCCCAAAGACAAAGATCTGACTTCGTGCTATGTCAACACGGTTCCAAGCCAGTGCCAAGCTCAGCTGATCTGGAGCCGATGCATTGGTTCCTGGAAAGGCAAGAAGTAAGAGTGATTTTTCACTCCATGCCTGGCATCACCTGGGTTAGGCAGGTGCTGGGCAGTGAGCAGATGCTCCCTTTGGAACTAACTGCTGCCTTTGTTTTCACTCCTGATTACTACTAAGGCTCAGGCTAAGCACTCCACATTCTCCAAGAGCTTCCTGAGAAGAAGGTGGAGCCAATCTCTTCCCAATGCCAGCTCTGCATCATCTCCATGGGAGGAACAGAGGAGGAATCTAGTAACTCAAGAGATCATCTGCAAAAGGGCAGGGACTTTGGGATTGCCCAGATATCTGCCAGGCAAGGCCAAGGGGCAACACCCCCTTCAAGAGTACCGAGTCCTTTGGCCCACATGAAGACCAGTGTGGCACTGTCAGGCAGCCAGCCCACAGTGACCTCCTTCTCACGGCCCCAGTCTGGCTGAGAGGCAGGGAAGAAGTATGCATCCCAGAGTAGAAGCTGTCTCACAAGTGCCTGTTCCAAGCCTGTCATTATAGGCAGGATAGGGAAATTGAAAAGAGCCCTGCAGAATGCAGTGATGCAAAGGAACCCCAGTTCATGTTTACACTATGAATAGAAGCCCTCAATGGACCAGTTACAAATGGAAATGGTTTTGACTTCAGCCCACCATGGTCCATGGGCACCTACAGACCCCTGCTCTTCAGAAACCCATTTGGAGTCTTATTCTAGTGTGGTTTTGTGCTGAGATTACTCCAGGCAGCATAGCTGGCTCAGAGTTCTGAAACCAACAGACACAATCCCCAGGTGGAGAAGACAGAGATGGCCCCAGGCCAGCCTGTCATTGAAAGGACAGGAATCACCGTTTCCTGAGAGCTCACCTTTGAGCAGCGCAGTTAAAATTGCCATCTCCACGTCCTGCTGACCCTCGGAACCCATTCTAAACACAGTGACCTGAAAATACGTGCATTGTGAAGAAAGTTAAAGTCAGAGAGAGAGTTGAAAACAAGAGTCAGGGTAGAGGTGCTTTAAAAAAAAAAAAAAAACAACCACAGAGACTGATGTGTGATGAGATGATTCAGAGAACTGAACAATTTCAAACCAAGTCTTTTTGATTTCCATCTTCGCTCTTACTGACTGTGAATGCTTGCCTGGATTCTGATTTTATCATTTATGTGATCTGCTCCAACCCTGGAGAAGGGGAAGCCCATTCAGGGTTTACATTCCAATATCCAAATAGCCACCTGAGATGATAAAAGCATATCTAATCTAATAGGACATATTTATAGGAAATTTTTAAATTAAAAAAATTTGAAGATGCCTTCTTATTTGCACAAGGAGTCCTCATTTCCTATGAACACAGGAAGTAAGAAGTGGGAAACAATTATGACATTTGGAAAGTGAAATGATTTCAACTTTGTAAGCACATCTAAGGGTGTTATATGCTGTTCTCTCCCAAGTCTTTAAATCTGATTCATATTTTGAAACACTAAGCTGTGTGATGCAACCTCCTATTTGCTAACGTCTGAAAGCACCTGGGACCCGCCGCTGTGTGAGCTTGTTCTGCTTCCATCACGTGGACACAAACCATCAATTTAGTGTGGATTTGTAAACTGCCTCTTGGAAAAGGCTGAACTAAAATATGAACAACTCCATCAAGCACACATGGGCAGAATTAGAAAAGGAAACATAATTCTCTCTGTGGAGATTGTTTGGAAATAAATTCAAGACACTTACGAGTTCTTTCTTCTTCATGCACTCCATTATAATTGCAAACAGCTGATGTGATTGTGTCTTACTGTAATTAAATGTTTTCTGAATGGTAACTAGAAGCTGATCCCTGAGGGACTCATTTATTATCCTGTTCAAAGGAAATGCAAAAGAGAACAAAACAAAGCAAGTTCAACTCATTTTTTAATCAATCAGACATCTCTATATTCATCTGTTATTTTTTATTTGAAACTATTGGAGGAGGGTATCTCTGCACAGAAGACAAAAAAAAAAAAAAAAAAGTCACCGTGGTCAAAAAATGCATTCACACTTGTCTCAAATTCCAGCCTTGTTGTAAACCTTATAAGGAAAATGAAGTTGGAAAGGAGAGTGTTCTGCCAGAGAGAGAATTCCGTCAGAAACAAGATGCTCCTGACAGCTCCCTCACATGCTGACCTTGGGAATGGGAGAGGAGATCTAGCAAATCTTCCTCAGTTAAGCATTTTTGGAATGTCTAAGCAGATCACTTCAGATGTTCTCTTTGGCCTAACAAGGCATTAAGAACCCACCCTTCATCACACATCAGAAATCCTACCCTCCTTCTTCACAGTACTTGTGTGCAAAGGACAAAATATCCGAGGCTCGTCCACTGCCATCACAGACCACCACGGGGACTGGAGGGTCTTCTCGGAGGTATTCCAAGACAATGGAAACCACGTTAGGGCCCCCTTCCACCACGAGGCCCACGACCGGCACACCCTGCCCCAGTCCTGCAACACAAACCACATTCACTGTTCGGACCGATGTTTAGCACCTTTAAACAGTCTCATTTTAATTCCTGAAACATGGTGAAGAGTACAAATTTTTCAACTTGACAGATGCTCCAGGTGGCTTTAGTATTTACCCTGAGGTGGAAAGGAATTCAGGCACATCATGATTGTTTTCATTTTTGCATTCAAACCTTGTATTATGTTCTCACTGGAAAACCCAGAAACTCAAAAATCTGAAACTTTCTGACTCCCCTGTGGTTGAACTCCATGTATAACTCACCTGGCATACAGGTGAGCCCTGAGAAGCACTAGACTATGCTCTGCCCTCTCTGTCCTGCCCTAGGGGTCTGAAATTCCCACCTGACTGGCTTTCCCTTAAAGAATGAAGCAGTGAAAGGGGGTCTAGGCCCAGGAGAGCTCACTTCAGTCCCTGGTCTTTCCCAAAGTAGTCTTAAATAAAAAAATAAAAAATTGAGGATATTGCTCAGTGGTTAAACACCCCTGGGTTCAATCCCCAGTACAAACCAAAACTAAAACCAAAACCAAAACAAAACAAAAACACCCTTTGGGCAATTACCAAACCACCGTGAGACTTAGATGACCATTTGTAAAAGGTGAATAATTACTAAGACCCCCTTCTCTCTTGAAGGAGCAAGAGATCTAAAATGGAAGAAAATCTTTGGCTATCAAAGTATATTGCAAACTTTAAGTAGCATGTAAATATGGTAGGTTGCTGTTATTTTTTCTGCCTTCAGTGCCTACAATAAGGTAGTCCAGGCTGAGCAACCCTAATCTGAAAATCTGAAAGCCCATAAGGAGAATGTTTCAACTTTCAGATTTTGGAATTTTGGATGAGGTATGCTCACCTAGTCTCTGCAAGTATTCCCAAATCTGGAAACTCTGAAATCTGAAACAATTCAGGTCCAGAGAATTTCAGATTAGGGATAATCATCCCATAAATGATCTTAGAAACAAACCCACTGACTACAATTAGCCCATCGATTAAAGGATTATTCCCTGAGTATTCCTTCTCCCTTAAAAAAAAAATCAGATAATACGGTTCTCTAAGAACACAATAGTTGCATGCTAATAACTTGTAAAACCAGCAGAATGGGCTCTAGGAAGCAGGAAGTGACAGGGGATTCTAGGAAGCTGGAATTCTGAGTGAGTGGATAGTGACAAATATGCCTTCTCCACAATGTTCAAAGAACTGACCAGGACTGATTATACAGTTGTCCCTCAGTGGTTCCTGGACTTGCCCCTTGTGAATACCAAAATCTGAGGCTACTCAAGTCCTTTGTATAAGATGTTGTACTATCGTATCAAAACTACACAAATCTCCCATACACTTTAAATCATTGTTAGTTGACTTACAATACCTAATACAATGCAAATACTATGTAAATAATTATTATCCTGTATTGGTTAGGGAATAATGATAAGGGGGGAAAAAAGGCTGTACATGTGCAGTAAAGATGCAGTTTTTACTCCTGAATATTTCCCATCTGCAGTTGTTCAAATCCCTGGAGGCAGGGCCCAGGGATATGCAGGGCTGGCTGTACTCTGAGACTATTTCACCAGATGTCTGTTAATGATGGGAATTAATTGATTAACATTAGCAAACAACAACTAAGAAAAGTATCCTTGGTGCCACAGTTCTCAAGAGCTTCACATAAAATCTTCTAGCACAGGTTTTGAGAAGATTTGAGAGTTTCAAGTAGGTGAAGTCAGAGTTTGTGGTTTGCTTTCACAGTGCATTTCTATGTCAGGGATGCTTAAATAGTTTGAGATATTTTTCTGTCTTGTACAGGAATAATTACAGTTAGGTTCATTTTTAGCAAATAAGCAATGAAAGTCTGTTTTATACCAAGTCCTAAAAAAGAGATACTGGAAAATGGATTGAGATGGCATAAATTCTGCCCTTGAGATTTCCAACCCAAGCTAGGATTGGGGCTTTAAAGCTTCAGTAATATGGTGGCCAAATCACTTTCTTTTCTAGAAAAATAATAGAACTGGTTCTTCTTGGCTTAGGCTGGACTTCCTGAAGCTGCATGCTGTGGGAGGTGACGACTGAGCACCCCTTTGCTGTCCCTGCCCCACTCAAAGCCCTAGGCAAAGGATGACAAAGGGAAGCCCACAAGTCACATGATCAAGTGAAGTTGGGCAACGTGAAAACTTTCAGGTCCAGAAAAATTTAAAATATTAAGAGCAAAAACCAGTTCAACCAATTTATCCATCAAGATCTGTTGCTCAGAAACCTACAAGTTATTGTAGTAGGTCATCCCCATTCTAACCACTTAAGCAGTATCACAATCCTTTAAATTATGTTCTACAACGATCATTTAACAGGCCTAGATTGCCTTGCACAAAAACCTCACCAGTTATGGTAAAAACAAAATATTCTTTAGGATCCTTTAGCAATTGTTTGACAGTAAGGATTGTTGGGAAGAGGGGCATGTCCAAAAAGAGTACACCAGTTATTTTAATTCTAACCAGTTCTTATTGTTTCATCTGGTTGGATTCATATTTTTTATCTCTAGTGTGAGCTCCGATGTCTCCCAGCAGTGGCTATTCCTCCTCGGGATGTGCACCTGAACCAGCAAGGATGATGAAGCAAATGGCCCCTGCAGCCCTCTCTAATAGGTCTTCCCTTCTGGTCATCTTAGTCTGGGTGAGATACTCAGAGTTATAGAGATATTTAATAACGTTTAACACTTATTATTTGATGTAAGAAATCATACTAGATCTTTGAGTGAGAATTGCTTTTTTCCTGTTAAAGCGTTTAAAAAATAATGACAGTAATTACAGGGAAAAAGAACCACAGGGCAACATGATGAGTGCTGCCATCACCATGACAACAACAGTAAGGTTGTTTCTTGCACCAACATGTGAACTTGAAGCAAAACATCACATGGAGCTCAGTGAATTCATGTTGGCAGGTGGCTAAGACATAAGGTCTAAATAAGTCATTTTCTATTGATCTAGCAAGAATCAAGGTTAAAGCTTTCAATAGCCTTGGGCAATTTCCTTCTCAGCTTGGTTTTCATGATCGTGGTGTCAGTCCAGTGGTGGTACTGTGGTCTTGGCTAGAACTTACTTGTGTTAATCTTCTGCAGAGAGATGTGCTTTTCCAGCTGCCTCCGCAGCTTCACCTCAGCACCATATTTGCCCAGGGTGCCATTATCAGCCAGGATGAAGTGAGTGTGAGAGTTGTTGAGCACAGAGAGCTTACTCAGAGGGTTGGACATGGTCTGGTACACTCTTGTTACCTGACAAAATGCACAACATGAATCAGAGCTGCAGAACTTTAATATTAAGACTAATGGGGAAACAAATGGAATACACGTGCTTGTAATGACTACACTTAAACCCATTCTCACTTCTATATCCTACTTATTAAAGGTTTTTTTCCAATTGCTCTATTAAGACAGCAAAAACAATTGTATACCTAGCTATTTATTACAGAAAAATGAAAATTCATATTAACACAAAATCCTGAACACAAATGTATTTGGAAGCTTCATTCATAATTGACTCACTGCAATGACCCAGATGTCTTTCAACAGATAAATAGCCAAACCATCTGTGATAAGTCCATACCTTAAACTAGCACTCAGCAATAACAAGGAAGGAACTATTTTTTTAGATATTTTTAGTTATAGATGGACCCAATACTTTTATTTTATTTATTTATATCTTGTGCTGAGGATTGAACCCAGTGCCTCACACATGCCAGGCAAGAGCTCTACAACTGAGCCACACCCAGCCAAGGAAGGAACTATTGATACATATGACAATCTGGAGGGATGTTATGTAGAGTGGAAAAAAAAATTTTCCAAAGGTTTTATACTGTATGATCCCATTTATGTAATATTCTTGAACTGATAAAATTACAGAGATGTGTGGTACATTAGTGGTTGCCAGGAGATAAGGAGGAAGTGGAGGTGGGAAGGAATTAGATATAGATATTAAAGGGCAACAGAAGGGATCCTTGTGTTGATGAAAATGTTCTGTACCTTAACTGTATGTCACTGTCCTGACTGTGATGTGGTGCTATTGCTTTGCAAGATGCAAAACCTGGAGGAATGGGCAAAAGGTGGATGGGAGCTTTCTTTTTTGTTTCCTACAACTGCATGTGAATCTATAATTATCAAAAAATACAGACTTCAGTTTTTAAAAATTGTCAATGTCTTCAGAGAACACACTTACATCTTTTCCAACCAGGTCTTCCTTATTCTCCACCATGCCCCATGGAGCAATTCCTATAGCACAGACCCGGCCTCTGGACTTGGAGGAATGATCTTTCAAGGCATCCCCCACATGGCTGATGACACCTGTGAGCAGCCATGAGTCACATTTTAGTCACTTCTAGTTCCCCTCACATCACACCACCCGTCATGAACTTCAGAGACAACTTCTATGAACTCCTACATTCCCTATGGAACAGGGATGAATGAGACATAGTTCTCTTTATCAGAGCTTATACTAACTGCTAGTCCTGCTTTCTGTCCTTGAAAAGGGAAAACAAAAACAAACCAAAGCAAATTGGTCAGTGACTTACTGTACATGTTTCTAAAACCTAAAGATAAATGTCATTGGGGTCTTTTTTTGTCAGTCCTTGACTGTATTCAGCTAAAGGTGAGAACCAGACCACCTGGCATGTTTCTTAACCTTTCTATGCCTCAGTTTACTGTACTGTGAACTGGAGAAAGGATTTTTGAACAGTCTAATTGAAGATGATGCTCACCCAGGGCTCAGTTCAAGGAAATGTGCATAGTAGGTGACCCAGAGATATTACTATTGTTACTATTACTATTGTGTAGTTTGGATCTTGAATGTCCCCCAAAGACCCATGCGTTGAAGGCTTGGTCCTTGACTTGGCGCTGTTGGAAAGTGGTGGGAACTTAAAGAGGTGGGGCCTAGTGTACAGTCTTTAGGCCACTGGGGATGTGCCCTTAAGGGGATTGCAGGACTCCAGTCTCTTCTTCTCTTTTTTGTTGCTGGTCTTGATGTTTTCGTATTCCCACCATGAATTGAACCTATACGCTATCACTGGATCAAAACAATGCAGCCAACTAACTGTGGACTAAAACATCTAAAACTGTAAACCAAAATAAACTTTTTCTCTTTTTTAGTTGATTGTTTCAGGCATAGTGATGGAAAGCTAACAGAATTATGACATTTGCTGTTTAAACAAAATGAATAATACCAATTTTTTTTTTAAATCTATGGAATAAAGACTTCACTTTTGTCACAATTAACATCAAGATGCAACATATTTTGTCTTCTGACTATTATTACTAGGAAGCTTTTGGGGGTCCACAGTGAGTTCTGGGTATGTACATTTACAGTGAAGGAAGGGCCTGCTCTTACCAGTGCTGACGCCCCCTGTGAAGATCCAGGCCCCTGTGGTCACGGCAGCCTTGATCAGACCTTTCCCAAACACCTGCTTCAGCTTGGGCTGCATCTCAAAGTTCTGGAGACCACCATGCACGGATATTAAGAGCTTGGGGAGTTCCAGCTGCCAGTCTTTCACCATGAGATGAAGCAGGGAATCTGGCTTGGTGTCATAGGATACACGGATATACTGTAAAAGAGTGTGTGATGCTCAGCACCTGTTCTTGGTTTTGCTTCTCGTGTCAGAGGGGGTGCAGGGTTATTGCTCATGTCCAAGTAGGAGTTGTCTGTCTTGTCTCTCTCTCTGTCTGTGTCCCAGAGACCCCTGTGTGGGTCTGTAGCTGAGTGACTAAAGGCAACTTTGGGAGGAGTTGTCAGGGTTAATGAATAAAAATACAGGATACTCAATACAGTGGTCCAAATATTTGTCTTTCCCCAACATGCATATATTGAAACTTTATCCTCAATGAAAATATTAATAGATTAACTTACAAGAGGTGACTAACCCACCTCCTAAAGGCTAATGAATAATGCCCTGAGGTCCAAGGGAGTTTGTTTACTCCTTCTTTCTTGTGAGTATCTATGAAGCAGAGGGTGAGACTTTACTAGACACTAAATCCGCTGACACCTTCATCTTGGACTTCTTAGCTTCTAGAACTGTGAGCAATAAATTTCTGTTGTTTATAAATTACCCAGTCTAAAATATTTAGTTATAGCAACTGAACAGACTAATTCACTCAATCAAATTTGAATTTTAGATGAATAATGAAAAATATTTTAATACAATATTTCTACTAAATGCAATACAGCATGCAATATTTAGGACATACTTGTATTAAAAAATAATATGTTGCTTTTCTGAAATTTAAACTGAGTATCCTTTATTTTATCTGGCAACAATAACCTTGGAAGAATTAATTCCAAAGCTAGCTTAGCTAGAACAATGATCCAAGAAGTTGGACAAGGATATTATTGAATGAGAGGGAAAGGAGACCGTGGTCCCACATCTGAATATAACCACCTCCTCAAGGTGAAGGAGTTAATTATCAGAGACCTTAGTCTTTATAAGCTGCTTCTTTATGTCTTGCTAATATGTAGAGTGTCCCTATTCCAGAAGACCCTGTATTGTGGTATTTGGAATACATCTGAATTTTATTTGAGTGATGATTTCAGACTAGTGAAATAAAATGAAATTTCAAAAATGGTCTGACTGGGCACATGGAGTATTATTCCAAATTGACTGAAAGAACACACGCCTGGAATCTTTGAGAAACTGCATGTTTTGTACAATGATGTCCAGTCTCCAAGTCTTACTGCTAAAAATCCATGGGCACAGATATATTCCTTGGCTTTGTAGTGAAATATCTAGGAGGAACTGGACCACACAACCCATGAAGGTATCTGTAGCTGGGAGTTGGGGGACAGGCCCCTGATGAAAGCTGTGGTTCCCATGGCATCATGTCCGAATGCTCCCTCTTACCATGGCTTTATTGAAGTATCCACCACCCTGAAATTCAAGAATCCCATAGGAATCTGTTGGGTAGCTCTGGGTGTGTTTGCTGACAGACCATTTTTCTGGCTGAGTCTCCGCCTGTTTGTTCTCCTCTTCATTTTTGCTGGGTGTTGCACTAGGCAGAGGGGGGATATGCTGGTTGATTAGTTGACCACAGCAACACCTGGAAAAAAAAAAAAGCAAAGAAAGGTCTTTTACTTGTTAGCATTTCTGGCTTTTTTTTTTTTTCCAGTACCGGTGATTAACCCCGGAGCACTCTATTTTTTATTTTGAGACAGGTCTTGCTCAGTGGCCCAGGGATGGTCTTCAACTTGTTATCCTCCCAAGTCACTGGGATTACAGGAGTGTGTCACCACGCTGGGTAAAGCAGAGTCTTTCAAAAAACATTTTTCTCCTTTCCCTTCTATTAGCAAAAGTAAATTAACCTGAAAATAGGTGAGTTGGGCCCAATCAGAGGTACTTATTCAGATAGATAATCCATGCTTATCTATTCATATACTATTCTATTTATATTGGATGACTACCCTTCCTTGCTGGACATATTTTAAATATTTTTTGAGAGAGGGGGGGGAATTTTTTTAAGTATTTATTTTTTAGTTTTTGGCAGATATAACATCTTTGTGGTGCTGAGGATCGAACATGGGCGGCACGCATGCCAGGCGAGCACGCTACCGCTTGAGCCACATCCCCAGCCCTTTAAATATTTTTGATGTCTTGATGACATTCATATGCGCTAAACATGCTGGACATTAATGAATATTCTGTGATGTAATGCAATCATGCCTTCTGAACATAGGATTGACCTTCCAGAACTTAGTAAAACATTTCTCTACCTGGTAATATTGGAAGTATTCCAATAAGTACCAGAATGTCTTTTCCTGCCCTGAGCAGCTGTGCCATTGGGCAATAACCTACCCTGGCTTCAGGGATCTCATTCTATAGCATCTCTCCATGACTCAGCCAGCCTTGTGTGCTCTCATGGTGTTCTCTCTTCTGGCTTTCTCCGTCCAAGATCCTTATTCTTGTGTAGCTTCCTTTCCTAGCAGCCTAGCTTAGGGTTTCCTTTGTCACTCAGTCACTTTCAGCTGCCACATATTTATGTGAACTAGATCCACCGAAACTTGAAATGTCTGCTTGGAAGAACAGCAGAATTCCAAGCAGTAGCCTGGAGTGATGTCTTGCTGCAGATGGGACCCAGGGGTAAGTGACATGGGAAAGAAGGGAGGGGAGGTCTGCTTCTGGGATGAGGAACTTCCTGAGGGCAGTCATGCACACCAGCAAGTGGGTGGGGGAGCCAGGGACTGGGAGATCTGGGGAGACGTGGGCTTGGGACAAGAGAGGATGTCTTTATTGGACGATATGTGTGAGCAATGTGCACGTGCTCTCTGTACTCATGCTGGCAGCCTTGGAATTTTCTCCCTGTCCTTCTGGATAATTCATTAGTGGCATGAGCCACCATTCCAGGTTTCCTTAGGGAAATGTCTATTCTTTCTATTCCTCCCTTTCTCTTTCCCTCCCTGTCTCTCTTTCCTCCTTTCCCTCACCTTTCTCCTTTCTTCCCTTTCTCCCGCCCCCTCACCTTTCCTCCTTTCCTCCCCACCCCTTCCCAACCTTCCCTTCCTTGTAAACTGTGTGTGTGCATGGGGGACTGGCGATTGAACCCAGGGGCACTCTACCACTGAGGCACTATCTCTTATTTTTTGAAACAGAGCCTCATTAAGTTGCCCAGGTTAACCTTGAACTTGCAATCATCTTTTGTCAGCCTCCCGAATTGCAAGGATTACAGGCATGTATCACCACTCCCAGCAAAATAAAGCTTTATTGATGTATAATTCATATACCACACAATTTGCTCATTTAAAGAGTATGATTTAATGGATTTTAGTATTGACAGATATGTGCAATCACCACCACAATTTTAGAACATTTTCAGCTTGTACATTTTGAAAATCTCCATTCCACTTCAACATCTATCTACTTTTTATCCACAACTACATGTCAACTTCCCTCCCACAGACATCATTAACCACAAATCTACTTTTGGTCTTTGTACATTACATACATCTATCTCTGCAGATTTCTACATATTTCATATAAGTAGAGTCATATAAGATGGAGTTTTTTGTGGAGAGAGGGCTTCTTTCATTTAGCATGCTTTCAAGATTCATTCATGTTGAAGCACATGTCAGTACTTATTCCCATTTGTGGTTGAATAATATTCCAATATAGATGGATAAACTTTTTAATCGTACTTTGAGGGACATCTGAGTTGTTTTAACTTTTTGGCTACCATGAATAATGCTGCTATGAACATTTATATACAGGTTTTTGTGGGAACACATACTTTTTCTTCTACTGGGAGTGGAAATACTGGATCGTATGGTTACATTATGTTTAATCATTTGAAGAGCCACCACGCAGGTTAAAAGGACTGTACCACTGTGTATCTTAACTAGTAATGTATGAGGCTTCTGATTTCTTCATACCTTCTCTGGAACTGTTGATTATTTGACATTTTTATTCTAGCCATCTTACCAGGTGTGCAGTAGGATTTCATTGTTGTTTTGATTTGCATTTCCCTCATGAATAATGATGTGAAGTATCTCATATCTTTTTTGATTATCTGAATATCTTCCTTAGAGAAATGTCTATTCAGAGTCTTTGCCATTCAACTTGAACATTCCACTTGAACATTTTCAAGTTCCACTTGAAAAATTTGGGTTATTTACCTATTTTATCATTGAATTGTAAGAATTCTTTGTATTTCCTGGATATAAATCCCTTACGTAAGTGTGCACACACATGTGATATATATACATATATATATATTTGATATATATCAAAGTTATATATATATGATATATTCATATATATCAAAGTTTATATATTATATTTTTATGACTATATGTATTTTTATTTATTATATATAAATATATATAATAAATATATATTTATATATAAAAGTTGTTTCCACTATTCTGGGTTCTTTACAATTATGTGTGAACCTTACAGATCCAAGGGATTGTTAGTTTCTACAAAGAAATTAATTGAGATTCTAACAGGAATTGAGTTAAATCTGTGTATCATTTGGACAGCATTGCCACTTTAATAATGATACATCTTCCAATCTGTTAACATTTTTTGTTTCCACAATTAGTTAAGTCTCTATTAATTTCGTTAAATAATGTTTTGCACTTTTTGTATCAGTATAGTATTGGCCTCATGGAACTTGTTGGAAAATATACCCTTCTCTTTTATTTCTGAAAGAGTTTGTGAAGAATTGATCTTAACTCTTCCTACAATGGTTTTTAAAATTCAGCAGAGAAGTCACCAGAACCTGTGCTTTATTGATTACTAGTCAAATACCAGCAAGGAGTTTTGGTTGTTGTTGTTTATTACTAATCCTCTATCTCTATCTATTATAAGTCTAATCAGATTGTGTATTTCTTCTTGTGTTAGTTTTGGTCTTTTTAGGAATTTGTGCATTTCATGAAAATTATCCAATTCATTGGTGTACAAATCATAATATTCCTTGTACTCATTTTTGTTTATATAAAATTGGTAGTGATGTCTCACTTTTCACTTCTTATTCAAGTCACTTCGGTCTTCCTTCTTGTCATCAATCTAGCTAAAGGTTTGTCAGTTTAGTTGATCCTTTCCAAGAACAGTTTTGGATGGCACTGATTTTCTCTATCAAAAACTCTCTTTTCTCCAGTATGGAGGGCAGAGAATAGAATAGAACAGAATAGAATAGACTATCCTGTTAGGGTCTGTAAACAAGTCAAGATGGCGCCTGGCATTTTGCCAGAGGGAGTGGTTTGTGAAATAACGCCAGCAAGCCATTAAGTGTGGAGATTCCTTATTGGTTAACTGCTGTATCTAGTTTATGTTAATTAAGATAAGCTGTGTGTAATGTATATATACCCCTCTTGTCCTACAATAAACGGCTCCCACTCCTGCTGTATCCATGTACACAAGTTGCTCGTCACCCCCCCCCCGGCTATTTTGCCCAGCCAGCTGGGCTATGGCACTATCTATTCTATTCTCTCTTTTTAGTGAAGTCCACTTTAAGCATGATTTTTTTTGTTTTCTTGCTTTAGTCTTAGTTGGTTTTATTTTCCCAGTCTCTTATGGTAAAAAGTTAGGTTATTTATTTAAAAACTTTCTTCTTCCTTACTGTAGGTATTTACAAGTACAATTTTTTTTCTCTCAGCACTGTTCTAGCTGCATTCCTTAGGTTTTGGCATGTTGTGACATTTTCATTATTTCACTTTTGATTTCTTCTTTGAGCCAATTGGTTATTTAAGAGTACGTGGCTTTAATATGCACATATTTATGAGTTCCCCAACTTTTTCATTCTTATTGGTTTCTTCTTTCCAATTTCATTATGGTTGGAGAACATATTTTGTATTATTTCTACCCTTTTAAATTTATCGAGACTTGTTTTATGAACTAACATATGGTCTATTTTGGAACATAGCTCAGAGCATCTTCCCACATGCACTTGAGAAGAATGTGGATTCTGTTCTTGGGTGGCATGTTCTATAGATGTTTGTTAAGTCTAATTGCTTTATAGTGTTGCTGAAGTCTTTTATTCCTTTGTTGATTTTCCAAGGGTTATGTTATTGAAAAAGGGATTTTTGAAGTCTCTATTATTGTTGAATTGCTTACATCTACCATTATTGCTGTCAATTTTGCTTCACAGATTTTGGTATGCTGTTATTTTGTTTCATGTATTTTGGAATGTTGTTATTTTGGCACATATATGTCTACAATTGTATATAACTTCCTAGTGGGTTGACCCCTTTTTCATTTAAAAATATTCTTCTTAGTGCATGCCCATAAACTCAGCAGCTCAGGAGGCTGAAACAGGAGGATCACAAGTTCAAAGCCAGCCTCAGAAACTTAGTGAGGTCCTAAGCAACTTAGCCAGATCCTATCTCTAAATAAAACATTTAAGAAGGGATGGAGATGTGGCTCAGTGGTTAAAGGGGTTCAATCACTGGTACCCCCCCCAAAAAATCCTCTTTATCTCTAGCAACACTTTTTGCCTTAATGTCTATTTTCTCCAAAATCAGTATAATTACTCCTATTTTCTCTGGCTGCTGCTCATGTACATGGGATTTGGATGGAAGGGAGCTCTCACCTCTCAACTGTTCTCACTCAGGACTTAGCCTCAACAATAGGTAGCAGAGGACTGGGTGAGAAATGCCAGAGTCCTGCTCCTCTCTGGACAAAGGAGTTTTGATTGGGAGCTGAGGGTAGAGGGAGTCCTGTGTTCTAGGCTATAACAGTGTGGAGTCTCCACCTTGCTGAGTTGGGAGTGGGGAAACTGTTTGTTTAAATTCCACAGATTTCTCCAACCAAACTTCAGTAGATTTCCTTGCATAAGCTTTTTTTCCCCCTTTGTTGTTTACCTTTGAGACTATTCACAGGGGCTTTAAATAGTTTTTGTTTGTTTAAATTCTAGCTTTTAGGAGTCCATGCTAGAGAATGCATAGAGCTCACAGAGGAGATCTGTGTGTGAGCCCTGAAGCTCTTCTGCATCTTCTGCTGCCTGACCACTTGGCTGTGTGGCAGGCTGTCATGTTGGCAGGTGCTAACAGGGGCTAGCATGGATAGTTACTATAGAGGAGAGCTTAGGTGCCACAAAATAAAGAGGGACAATAAAGAAAAGACTTGTGTGATCACTGGCATTGTCCCATAATGGCATTTCTATCTTGAGGGACAATCACTGGGGTTCAAGCAGGAAGAAGAATGTGCAGGGTAGTATGTGGGGCAGGGGAGCTTGCGGACTTCTTGGGGAAACTGTGATTGCATGTGTAAAATTTGATCCAGGTGATCTCTAAGAGTCTGTGCACTTCGAAATCAGTGAGGTAGATGGATTTCATGGTTAATATATGGATAAATCAATTCTCCCATCCCTAAACTCAGCCTTACAAGTTTTTTTTCCCTCAGAAATGAAATGTTTTAGTTAAATCCATCTCTGATTTCTTGCATGACTTCAGAAGGCCTTATCTTCAGCTAATAACAGATGCAATTTCATATATGTGAATGAAATTGTTTGACATTTGTGTACAAGTTAAGCCCTTTAAGAAAATTATATCTAATTACCTTAACCACCCAGATTGTCCTGTGATGGGAATTCCTTTTCATCTAAATTATGAAATTATTAAGGAAGCCCAGAAGATACCCTGGACATCTGTCCAAAATTCTCAAGATTTTGTTCTCATTAAGGGTAAGAGGAACACCGTAGGACCATCTGGTTTTGAGAGTTCATATTAGAGAAAGTGATAGACACTTTTTTCTAAGGCTATTTATATCTTAACAAAGGAACTTATTAGCTCAGTGACTGCCTTGTTAGTGACTCATTTAGGGACTAGATTCTGGTCACCCTATTTGATTCATCTGCTCCCTTCCCCCAAATACTAGGAGAACAGTTGATATTCCCAGGTCTGAATAATGTCTTAACTATGTATCCCAACTTACCTGTTTGGGTCTTTGGTGTTGGGAATTACAAAAATACACTCCCTTTTGCAAAATGTTTTCTCAATCCAAGCTTTCTGGCCCTGAAAGAGAAAGAAATAAAAATTAGACTGATATATCCACAAACCATCGACAGAGTTCATTATTTTACTTTTATAAAACTAATATGACACTAACAGGCATAAGTCTAAATAGTCACCTCCAATCAAGGTGAACTTAAGCCTTGCTAGTAATAAGGCTTGGAACGTTTATTTATGGTTCCCATTTGCTGAACCTAAGCACCCATATCTGTTGAAGATATTTTTTGTGCAAGGTGTCGTGGGGACTTCTGAGGACATGAACTACAAGGCAAGTGTTGTTCACCATCTGGAAATGGCAAATGTAGGGTGGAGGAGACACCAAGCTAAAGGGACAGCAGAGCTGTGGCTGGGTCCTAGAGCAGTGGCCGCACCCATGCCGGATGCCACAGCGGCCCCTGCTGGCTTTGTTGTGTGTGTCTTCTTATCCTCAGTCATATGGAGCACCCTCACATGGAGGTTCAAAGGAGGGAAGTGATCATATCAAAAGGCTCTGTTATTCTTGTCTCCTGCATACGTTCCTGTCACTGGTGTGGTCAATTAGTTGCTCAGCTACTTCAGTCGTGGGGGAGGGTGGGGGGAGGGTGTATGTGTGTGTGTGTGTGTGTGTGTATGTGTGTGTGTGTGTGTGTGTGTGCTCGCGCACGGGTAGAGACGCGGAATCAACACACAGACTCTGGAAGCTGGTGAGAGAACTGGCAGGAGACAATCCTCAAGTCGTAGTCCAGTAGCTAAGTTTATTTTTGGAAAGCATACAATTGTTATAGGGTTCTAGTGGGGCGTGCCCATCAATCATATATAAGCAAGGTAGTATCCATAAGCCAATCATCTTCTGCCTAATGTAACCATACTATGAGGATGCTCTAAATATTGCTATCATCAGGAAAGGTCTTTGTCCCTAGGTGAGAGGGTTTTCTAAGTAAGGAGTTTCATGCCTGAAGCTCCAGGCTATCAGTTTCCTGGTCCGGCAGCTTGGCAATGCTAACCACCAGTGCTAAGGTTGAGGTTTCACTAACGGCTTGCTACAGCAGAGCATCCCATCCTGCAGGCGTTCCTATCAGGCCTGTAGTGTAGATTTTTCAAGCACTCTGAGCTGCTCATAGCTGCTAGCTGCTAGCTGTAAACTGAAAGTTATTCCAACAGTCTCCCAGGACTGTGGGAGTCAGTAGGTAGAGAGAGGGGGAAGAGCCTTCCCAGGGAGGGTAGGGTGTACCAGCAGGCAGGGGTGTAGGAACCCAGAAGTCCCTGGCAGAGCAGGGTGGGAGGCAGGCTCAGAGTGCATTTGTGGTTTTTGTGTGTTTGTGGCATGTGTGTTGTATGATGTATTTGAGTCTATGTATGTGTGTGTATGATGTATGCTTGGTGAATGAATGTGTGTATGCTGGTGTGTGATGAGTGTTTATGTGAGTGGGTATTTATGTGTGTGGTAGGTATATGTGTGTCGTGCATCTATGGGGTATGTGTGTGTTTGTGTGGTGTGTGTGAGTGTGTGGTATGTGTTATGTATGTGGTATGTGTACATGTATTATGTGGTTTGTGTATGATGTGTGTGGTATGCGTATGTCTGGTATTTGTGTCTGTGTGCGTGTCTCTGGGGGCAGTAGTGGACTGTTTGGCAGATGCTTGGAAATGGAGATGGTTAGCATACAAATCCTGAGTCAGAGCTTAGAAAATGTATGGCCAGCACAGTCTGATGTCCTTGGTAATTTGCCGACGGTCTCCCTGGGCAGAATCACAGTATGATCTGAGACGAGGGTATGACATGAGGTGTTTAGTGGAATTGGCCTCAGTGCTGCCTTCCTGCTGTCCCACCCACAGGGCAATGCTGCTGATCTGGGGATTCCCTTGTCTCTTCGGAGGTTGCCTAACAGTGACAACCCAATGTCACAGAGGCCCCCTGACCCGATCTAGGTCAAGGACTTGATAACCCCAACTGCTGCTTCACAAGAGCCATTTCTAGCCCTACAGGTAGAACCTTCAGGTCCCTCCCTGGAGAGCCTTTCTGGGAGATCTCAGAAACAGCTGATCAATTGGCTTCTTTTTGAATAACTGGAATGATTATAATATAAAACTTTGTTCAGGGACCTTCAAAAGCAACACTGTCGCTGTTTCCCTCCAAATAATGACTGCTTGAACACTATGTCATTGGTGCTAAACATTTGTGCTAAAGAGAGGAAAGCATCCACTCAAAGGATAAAATGCTGAGAAGTCCTCGGCCTAGTCTTCTCATGTGGAATGTAAGAGCAGCTCAGCTCAAATAGCAAAGCAGAGCATTCTCTGACTGAAAGGAAATATGCGTTCCCCTTTTGCATTTCATGCCTCACTTCCCAGAGAAGCTAGGAGAGCATAATTGTGTTTGTTTATAAAAACACAGGGGTCATATTATTTGGACTATATGCCAACGAAAGACAATAAGAATTCTAAACAAATATCAAACTCTCTTGAATAGGTTACTCTGCCACGGAGACAGAGGATATCTCTGTGAAGTCAGCACACTAGAGTGATACATGCACACCCATGTCCCATGTCTATAGCAGTGTAGTTCATACTAGCTGAATTATGGAAATAGCCTAGGTGTCTGTCAACAGAGGATAGATAAAGAAAATGTGGTATATATACACATGGAGTTTTATTTTATTTTATTTTTTAAATTCTCCAATATTTTTAATTAATCCAAAAACTCAATTACATCAGGCTGCATTTTGCTTTTAATTTTTACATGAACTCAAGTAGTTTGGTTTCTTTTTTAATTTTTTTAAAAATTTGTTTTAATTAGATACACATGACAGTACAATGATCATGACATATCATACATGATGGAGTTTTATTTAGCTATGGAAAAGAATGAAATCATGTCATTTGCAGGAAAATGGATGGAACTGGAGGAGAGCATTATGCTAAATAAGTGAGACTCAGAAAGTCAAGGGTCATAAGTTTGCTCTCAGTGCGACTGAATTACAAAGAAGGAGTTAGTAACTTGATAGTAAAGAAATACAGTGAACAGCACCTAACACACAACGCGAATCACAGTAATGGAACAAAGTCCACGAGGCTCCTGAGTAAATGTACTGAGAAGAATACAAATGAAAAACCTAAATCTGATCAGGACACGTCAGACCACCCAAACTGAGAGAGAGTCTGCAAAATAACCGGCCTGTGCCCTTAAAAGATGTGAAGCCAGTGAAAGAAGAAAAGACTAAGGCAGCACAGCAGAGGCTCAAAGGACAGGAGCACGGCCAGCTCCGCCCCTGCCCGCCCCGCCCACCGGCCCTGTCCCCTCCCGGCCCGGTTCCCTATGGTGCCTCTCCTCTTCTGCCACTCAATCTCCCCCTCCCAGCTCCCACTCTGGAGCCCTCCTTCTTAGCCCTGCCCTCTGTTCCCGCCCTATGGACTCTTTCCTTTCTGTCCTTTTCAGTCACCCTAGGATAAGGTACAGGCAAGAGGCATGGCCAAGGAAACCCTTGTCAACACGGGTATTTTAGAAAACCTGAGTCTTGCCCCTGAGGTTCGGGTTCCATATGATCAAAAGGAGCACATGCCTCTTGTCCTCCAGGGTTTGTGCCACGAAATTAAGGAAGAAGCTCCCGGAGCAGTACTGTGCCCCTGGCTCTTATTACTGAGTCTGTTCTGTCACGGCTGACATTTAAATACCTCCGTCATCGGAAGTGTGTCCCTGTCTCCTCCTTATCTTGCCTGTGCAGTATATCTGTGACTTCTCAGCAGGGCATTGGCCTTACATTTTGCCTTCCAAACTCTGAAAAGGAGGGCTTCTCTGGATGCAGAGTGCCAGCCATTGCTGGTGGCTCTGGGCAAGTGCAGCTGGCATCTAGAGTCCTTCTGCTTCACTGAAAATCCTCTCCCTCCTCCCACAGAAGTTCTAGAATGTTACTAACATATTCTCCCTGAGGAGTGAAGTGTTTTGCTTTAATATTAACCTTTGTTTTCTTTGAAACTTTGGTTGAGGAGAATATCTTCAGTTCAACAGGACATGTTACTACTGAGTCTCTAGAAATGTCATAGAACTTTCTGAGGATAAAAAGAGGGATGGGGGCCATTCTTTGCCTGCAGACTCTTTTTCCGGAAGCAAGACATACAAACCATGCCCTCCCCTTGTTCCAGCTTGTGTTCAAAATGTCTTCTCTTCAGTCAGGCTCCCTTGACTCTTCATCTCACCCCAGCTTCCTGCTTCCTTGTCCTTCACACACCTCTTCTCTTCTCAGTGATCTGCCATATTACCGTGCCTCCAGGAGTTCCTGATGAACAGTCCATACTCCATGCCTTCTCTCTCTCTCTCTCTCTCTCTCTCTCTCTCTCTCTCTCTCTCTCTTTCTCTCTCTTTTCTGGCAGTGCTGGGGATGGACCCCAGAGCCTTGTACATTCTAGGCAAGCACTCTACTAACAGAGTCACAACCCCAGCCACTAGATGCCTTTTAATGATTGAATGAATGAATCATCTGATGGACCACTGCCATGCTTCTCAGCCCTTATGCTGTGTACAGCAGCCGTATCCCTAGAGCTCACACCTGCCAAGCAGGGAACACACAACAGAAGGGAGCCGACCTGGGGTGCTCAATGAGTCTTTGCTCACCTGGGGAGGAGCTCAGCTCCTGAATGCTGCTCAGAGGCTAAGGTAGGTGAAAGGCAATGGGTGGAGGGCCCCCTTTGTCAAACATTCCTTCTTCCCTTCTTGTCACACTCCAGTGCTGAATAAATGCCATGGTTGTAACCAACAGCCACAAAATTGTTGAACCGATGCTTCCCAACTGCTTAGAAATTAGTCACACAAATTCTAGAGTGACTGTCCCACTGCAAGTTGGACTTTGTAAGCATCACCCATCTCATTCTTGCAAAACATGTCCTTGTGAAAGGAAGGAGGGCAGGGTCTCCCGTGATTCATGTACAAGCCCCTTTGGATCCCTCTACCTGAGGAGAGATATGCCCCATCCTGTGAAATATTCTTATTCACCAAGAATGGTCATTTTGAAAGCCTTAGTGAGAAATGATGG